GAATACTTTTTAAGTATAACCTATGAGGTCGGGTAATGTACAAAAATTATGTATAAGTAGACTTTTTCTTAGTGTAACAATTCTATTTCTTGGCCTTAGTTTAGGTGAGGTTAAATAATGGGGCTGAATGATATGTGAAATTAAATGATTTATTTAATTTCATTTATCATTTAATGTCACATTAACTTTTTTATAAACTAATGTTATAATGTCAACAAAGTTACGTGGCAATGAAAATGACAGGTGTCACGTCAAATCCCGATTCTCTCTCTTGCACTTTTTATCCCTTTTATCATTATTTTATTATTAAAATGTTTTGTCAGAATTCACAGTTCAACGGAACAAGAAGACGCACAGTACCTACCACCCAACCTTTTTTCTGCGAATTATCTCATATACATAAAGAGAAAAAGAGGGAATCACTTCTGAAAAGGTCAGATCTTTTCTGTTTTTAAGGTTTTATGTGTGCATGAAATTGCTGAGAAAAGCCCCTCAACTTTGATTTCCTGGTATACTTTGAGGTTTGGCTGCCTGACCTGTTAAATTAGGTAAATTCAGACCTTCTTGGAAAATGGGTTTGCTTTTCTTTGTGGATTGCTTATTATGTTTTAGCTGTTTCAGGTAAATTGTTGGGAAGTCCAACTTTCGGTGCCTTGGAGTTTTCGTTTTACTTCTCCTTGGATATTACAGTTTGTCTTGTTGAATTTTCTGGAGAATAAAACTCTCAATTACGTTCTTTGCCGATGCTTGAATTTATTTTTCCCAAATGTTCCCGTACAAGATTTAATTAATGATTTTGCGTAAAAAAGTTAAATGTACTGTGTTACTGATTTTATTCCTTGCCCGTTTATTCTTGATTCTAGATTCCCAATATGTTGGAATACCTTTTCCCTCTTTTATTCTCAGCAGGTTTTATTATTCCTTTATTATTTATTTTGTTATAATAATATAACATATCAGCAGAGAATTGATCTGTTAGAGGGGGAGTTTTAATTAATCATATTTTGGCTTGCAAAACCCCTTTCTTTCACTGTTTTGAGAAGGTAAATTTCGTTCTTGGACCAACCCCAGTACCCTTCTTTGTCCTGTCATTATGTTTTAAATTAATTATTTTCAAATATTTTTCTCAGCTGATGCTCATAGTTTATTATTTCCCTTTGTCATAGTTTTCATTTTCACATGTGAATGTAGACTCGTTCACCAAACAACAAAGAAAGTGCTAGGATTTTCTTCGACTTCAGTCCTCTCCCTGTAAAACAACCTGTTTATGATCTGGTAAAGAACTGCTTTTCATCAGTTTGATTCAATTGTTTGGCTGAAGGTTTGAAAAATGCTGTGTTGAAGGGAGAAGTTTGATTGAGAATAAGAATTAATTGAAGTATGGGTTATCTATGTGATTTCTGTGCGGAGCAAAGATCCACCGTATACTGTAGGTCTGATGCAGCTAGCTTATGTTTGTCCTGTGATCGTAATGTCCATTCTGCTAATGCCCTTTCAAGACGTCATTCAAGGACACTTGTGTGTGAAAGATGCAACACCCAACCAGCATATGTCAGATGTATTGAGGAGAGGGTATTTCTTTGTCAGAATTGTGATTGGACAGGGCATTCTGGGTCGGATACAAGTCCTGCACACAAGAGACAACCGGTTAATTGTTACTCTGGTTGCCCTTCAGCCACAGAACTTTCTGCAATCTGGTCATTTCTGTTAGATTCCCCTTCAGTTGGAGACACCACTTGTAAGCAGGGGATGGGTTCATTTAGCATCACTGATAATCAGCTGATTGATTACCAAGTTTCCCAAGAAAAGAATGATATTCTAGATGCATCTGTTGTAATTGAAGCTAGTGGCTTAAACAATATGGATGTCAATGAATCAACTGTTTGGATGGGATCACAAGTGCCTTTATTTGATCCGAAGCTACATAACACAGAACAGCCAGCTGGATCTTCTAATCCTGCTTTGCCCATGGTAGCAAACAATTCCATAACATTTTGTTTTGAAGAGATATAGAACTTAATTCTTTATTTAACCAGCCAAATTTCATCAATTTGTTGTACTGTGATGAACATTTCTAAGACATAGGGAGAACAGCAGAGCTACTAATATGTCGTCTCATATGACCTAGCCCCCGTTTGATAGCAATTTTTCACCCCCAAAAAATAAAAATTTTCACCGTTATTTCACTATTCCAGTCGGTATTTTTTACTTTTTTATTCAGGGTGGAACCCACTTTTCTCTCTAAAGGTCAAAAAATCAATTCTCATAATCACTACCGAACAGGCCCCTAGTTGGCTGCTGCCCTACTCCACATTGCTTGAACATTGCCATCATGAACTGTCCATGCAAATTTATACTTAGCCTTGCTTCTTGGCCTGTTGTATTATGGCATTGTAGTACGTAGCAGAGTATTTAGGTAATTTAAGGATAATGAAACCCTCAACTAGTGACTCCCACTCCTGGAAATAAATAAATAAATAAAAAGATATCTTGACTTCTGATACAATGTTGGGCTTGTTTTCTTTTTCTACTGGAGATTGTATGATCTTTCTTGTCTGCCCTGTTGTAAGTAGTTTGCAAGACTTGACGCCTCAAGAATTTTAGATTAGAATTTTGGGATTCAGATCATGCGAAAATACAAGATTCTCAGCTATAACTTAACTCGTATGAAAAATAACATGGTATAATATTCCATAGAACCGTTTCAACTCCAAGTTGTTTTAGGCACAATCATCTTCTCCTGACTGAAAGTAAATTATTATATTTGTACCCGTCCCTCATTTACTCTTTGTGTACCTGTTAGTGGCGCTTTTTTTTAAAGCTAATGGCCCTTGAACATGCACATTAGAAATTAATCAAGATTGCTTTCCTAATGTGTCAGTACCTATGATTGCCAATGAAAAAGCCTGAGACATATCAGTTTTGTTTGCCACGTCTGGAAGAATTCTTGCTCCTAATTACCACTCAAAGATAGAAGTTGTTGGTTGTAATTAGTAAAAGAAAAACTTGGAGATGCAAAGGACAAATTGACTAATATGGAAGTATTTGATGGTATGTCAAAGTATGTACTTCAGCCCGTAGATTTATCATGTATAGAATTAAAACAAAAATGGACTGGGCTCTTCATGTTTCCCTGAGAGGAGCAGCAACTTATAGAGATGAAGGGTATCATGATTACCAGTCATTTATCTTTTACTCAGTTTCATGCAAACTTTAAAAAATGTCATTTGTTATGCTTTTGCAGGTCTTCCCTGGAACAAAAGGAGCTACCTTTTACGAGGGAGATAGTTTCTACGATAATTTCAATATGGATGAAGTTGACTTGGATATTGAGAACTATGAAGAACTTTTCAGTGCAGCTCTTGATAATACTGAGCAGCTCTTTGACGACGATGGGATTGATGGATTATTTGGGACGAAGGACATGTCTGTCTCCAACTGTCGGAGTGCTAATGCAGCTGAGGTGATTCTCAAATGGGACACTATCTCGTGCATGTGACCATTGCAATTTATTATTAAAGAAACGTATCGTTTAATTATTATTTATTATTGTTGTTGTTATCATCATCATTATTATTTTGAATTGTTGCTGAAAAAATTCGCCTTCACTATGATCTTTAGATGTCGATTTCACATGATTAAGATTAGGATTTAAGAGAAATAAAGTTTGGGACATTAAAAAAAGTAGTTGAAGAGTCTTGGTGTTGATGTACCATTCTTGTCAAATACTTTTAGAAACAAAAATATGTTAAGATTGTGCCTGAAAAAGAAAGATAATGTGCTCTTGTTGAAATTTAAATAGATCTAATCCATGGTGTAGTTCTATTATGTTTATTTTACTATAATTTCAATTCTACATTAAAGACAGAGTAACATGCATGGCATGAGAATTAAGCACTTTCTGAACTCTTACCTGGATATTTGTTTAGATCGAATAAGTTACAAAAGAATAAGTATATAAAAAGCTGATCATGTGATGTTGGGCAGAATGGAGATCAAAGAGACTTGAAATTTATGTGCATATTTGGTGGCATGAATTGGATTTGTTTCAATTGGCTAATTCAAACTTGATAAATTAGATGATATTATGCCTGTGATAGAATCTGCATTTATATCTTTTTTCAATAATTGTGGATAAAATCAAAGCTCCTCAGATCCATGTTATAGAGATGGACAGTTTTTTGTGATGTCATAATTATATGAAGTGTGAGGGTTAACCGCAGTTGTAATCAAACTTCTATTGAGAGATTGTTTGCCCTTAAAACAAAATCAAAATTTTACAGTATGTCAATCAATCGCTTGCTGCTACAACTATCATAGACTGATCGTTTCATGGCTTTTTATGCTTCAATGAGGAAAACTCATTTCTCTCCAGTTTGTATGTGTTACATAGTCCTTTTCATGATTGCATTTCATCGTTTCTTTATTTCTACTTTAGCAATTAGCCATCACACCTCTCCAGTTATTCAGTCCTCTGGACTCACTGAACCAAAACATAAAATTTGCATCATATAATAGCCATTGCACTGATTATTGCCCCTTAGGATTACTATAATCTTCACAGTTCCTGGTGTTTTGACTTAATAACTGTTGTTAAATGCTGATGAATTGATGAATCTTTGACTGGAACTTAGTTATTGAACCTACTTCTCTCTCTCTCTCTCTCCTTCTCTGTGTGTGCACGTGCGTGTGCGTATGTGCATCTCTCTCTTTCTGAGAGAATCAACTTTTAAATATTGTTTAACATAGTCATCTCGTTGCATGTTGATCGATATGCTTCAATACCACTGCTTACTCAATGTCAAACTCATAAGTCTATTTTCTTCACCAGCATCAACTCTCTGTTTGAGAAACTTAATCGACATGCTGTTAACTTTGGTTGCTAATTCAATCTGCTGTATTACCATGATTATCTGTTTATCTCCTCAGTAACTATTATCCATGTGATGATATTAAAACCGTCAGTCTGACATCAAGCTGTGCTGAATTCAGCAAGCTATATCACAACATTTTTTAATAACTTTATTAACAAATATCTGCTGAATGATTTGTAGGCTAGGAAATTCTAGTGTGAAAACTAATTACGCATAAGAGTAGGATTCAGAGGGGTCTTTATTTGGTGGATATGGGTGGGTTTTGGTACAAGGATTACAATCTCAAGTTTAATCATTGTTGTCTGGGTTCTTTTTAAATGTTAAGAGTGACGAATGGGGATAACTTGTGCATGTGTAATGTCTTCTCTCATTTGACTAAAGACTAGTGGTAAAGTTGTCATGGTCTGAGCTTGGACCAATAGCAATAGGAAAATAGAGAATAGTTGGCAAAACATTATCCTATTCTTTTTTTCCCTAAAGGAATGAAGTGCTGAGAAAAACAAGGCAATCTAGTTCTTCATGATAAAATGTTGGTGCTGTTCACCTTCTTTCACTTGGCCACAAGATCAATAATTCCACATGGAGTAATATGTTGTTTGATATATGGAAATTTACTTTTCTCAAAGAAGAGAGAATAAAAAGGAAATAGAAAAGGAAAAGAAATAAAGTATGGGAAGAGAGGTGTGAAAGGTGAGTATTTCAGAAGCATATGAAAACTCCCGCAATTATCTGTGGCTACATTACTTTAGCTCTTCTAGACGCATAAAGTACCATTGAATACCCAAAACTTGGACTAGGTTACAGGGCACGTGCCCAGTATTTTGCAATGATATCTGATGCATGAACTATATAAAAAAATTTCATTTGTTCTTTAACCATTTCAGATACATCGAGATTTTGCCTTTTGAGTAGTTTCTGTATCACTATACCATAGATTTAAGTATTATAGTTCAAAATATTGATGTTATGCAGTTTCCATGTAATAGCCTAGATTGGTCTTCAAAAATCAACAATCGAAAGATTTTTCTTCTGAATCCCTAATATCAGCAAAATTGTCCTGCATAGTATCCATAGGCGAAGTCATTGTAATCTTTGCACCATTTCTAACCAAATAAAAAACGTCTGCTCAATCAATTGTCATCAGATCCTCTACTTTAGGTGGGATTTAGTCCAAGGTTTTGAAATCCCCTGGGCTTTGATGAATCAATTGCTGAAAGCCTAAGATGGCCCTTTCGCTGCAGGACTTCGTGGCATTCTTGCTCTCCATATCAAATACTTGCTGAAATTGAGATTCTTTGTTATAATTTATCAACTCTGTAGTATCATGTCAGAATGTCTAATTCACCTAGTTTTATTCATTTCTTACTAGGGATCATCAGTTGGGAGGTTGAATGTGGCAAAACCAGCATGCAGCAATGTAGCATCTGCTGATTCCACAATAAGCTGCTGGACTGAACCAAACTTATATTTTGCGAGGCAAGCACAATCTGGCCTCACTGGAGAGAGCATAACTGGAGACTATCAGGACTGTGTAGAACGACCGCTGTGTCCTCTGGGTCCCGAAAGTTCCACATATTCTTCTAGCCGAAGTGATGCTGTAATGCGTTACAAAGAGAAGAAGAAGACACGCAAGTAAGATATCCATTGGCCTCTTGGTTATTGTTTACGAAGATCAAATGTTGATTGATATTATAAGGAACCAAAACAACATTAATAGTAGGTAAAAAGATTAAACCATTCTCATTAAATATGAAACAATAACAAGAGAAAAAAAATGCACCAGATGTCATTTAACGAAAAAAGGGCATGGAAACTAATTGAATTAATGAAGAACAACAATTTTTATTAATGAGACCTTTTAACTTTTATCTATAGATCACCAGTCTTCATTAGAAAGTGAAGAATCTAATGAAGTGCTCTTATAAAATAGTTGGACAACGTGGAAAAGGGAAAATGCTGTTGGAATCTTGTAGAATGCTAGAAACGGAGATGAATAGGGAGAGGGATGTCAGGTTATAAAGGAATAGTGGGAGCATGATTAAATCTTTGCAATTGTTTCCATTATAACAAAAGAGAAAGGGAGACCAATCAAGCTTGACACCTCCCCCATGAGATAGTCACAGATTTGCCGTGGTTTCTTTGCCAAGGTATGTAATGAATTAGATCTGCAGAAGCCCATAAGACAAGGGAAGAACGGAAATGAGGAAAATCCAAAGTGATAGGAAGAAAAGAGAAGAGAGGTGGGGAGGAGGAGGAAACCAAAAAGGAAAGAGGGAGTTGGCTAAACATGCTCATTTAATCTCAATAAATAAAGGGAAAATTACAGCTGGGTTACCCAACCTATGCAACATAGAGGAATTAGGTCCTTGACCTTCTATGTGTTGTATTTGGGTTCTCAACAATTCAGTTTTGTAGCACTTGCCAATTGGATCCCCAGTGGATGGATTCTATCTGTTTCGCAGTTAAAAATCTCACAGGTTGTCCAATTTTATGTCGTTTCTATCTTGTATTAATTGATAATACATTTCTTGTGTATTATCCATGATAAATAAAATATTTGATTACCTATTAAAAAAAAAAAAGTTAAAAATGTCACGTGACTTGCTGACTCATTTTTTGAAGAGTAATAAACACTTATTCTAATTAAAAAGAAAGAGCAATAGTGGTATGCTGTTTTGTTTAGTCTGTTGTTTAGGTTGTTTTTTAAACTTTTAACTTTTAATAACTTTAATCCTACTCAGTACTCTTCTTAGTTTTCAATAAATTTTTTCTTAGAATCATATATAAATCCTTTTTTTTTTCACCACCTATGACATATAAATTTGAACCTGATTTCTTTTTATAAGGTTGCCCGTGGCACTCCCTTATAAAATTCTTAGATTAATTTATCCCTTTCCCCAACATCTCTAGAAAACATCAAAAGGCTCACTTCGGCCAAAAGTTTTCACTCATCTGGGTCATTCAGGATTAACCTAAAAACAGTATGGCTTCTAGAAATCAAGTTATGCTTTTATTATATGCATAGGATAAAATGAGAAATATAACAAATATTTACTTAAAGAAAAACATAAACATAAGAATATAAATCAGGGATTTATAAATTCATCTTTAAAAGATTTACAACTAAGGATTTCCCTTTCGGGAAGTCCCTAAAGTTCTAAAATAAATTTAAGAAAGAAAAAGGAATACCTTAAATATTCACAAGAATGTTTCAGCTATACAATATTTTTTGGATTGAGAATTTTTCTGGAGGAGAGGTTTCAAAGGTTTTTTAGATAGCAGAGAGTACACAGGTTGTAAACTTCTACTTAAACCAAATGAAACTCATTCCTTAAATAGAAAAATTCTTGGGAGCAAAAAGTCTAAACTATCCTTGGAAAAGGCACACGTTTCACCGAGAAACTTCTGGTCATTTCAAAGTCTAACAAGTGGAAAGAAAAATTTCAAAAGTTCCTACGTCTTTTGCTAAAAATTCAAAAGGTCTACAGTTGGGAATATTTCTTTTACAAAATTTCTACCAACTTTACAAAAAAGTCTAAAAAATCTATCAAAAAAGGGGAAAAAGTCTAAAGTTGAATAGTAAATTTTTATCGTAATTTTGAGAGAATCTTTCATCTTTTCCTCTTTTCTGCTGGCACATCTGTCTTGTTCTGCATTATTGAGAATCTTTTATCAAGTATCAAGATTATGGCGTGCCACTGATGAAAATGACATTCCACTATCTGAATTATTGTATCCTTCATCATGTGGATCTTCATCTTCATCTGAAAGTTTGAAATTACTGGCTTCATTTTTTTCTTTTTATCTGGGCATTCTGCAATTTCTTTTTCTTCTTCATGATTCTTTTTTAGAATTGTCTCAAATGCTTGATTTACTGCTTCTCTAATTTGTTCTTTCAATCCTTCATCAATTTTCTTTTTCTTAATCTTTTTCTTTTTTCTGGAAGAAGTTCCTTCATCTTTTTTAGATTGCTTCTGAAATTCTTCAATTTTTTCAAAAATCTTTTCTAAAAAAACAGTATCTGGATTGGGGTCTTGTGCTTCTTGAAGAGATAAACAGTCTTGACTATTTTGGGCCACCATTTTTTCCTTTCCTTTGCTATGCTGAATTTCTTGGGCTTGTGAAAAATCTAGGTTATTTGAAAAATGTTCTTGCGAAAAATGATCTGGTGGACTATATTTGACTAAATAATCAAATTTTTCACTGGGCTGTCCTAAAAGATCCCAAATTTCTTTACCCTTGTCTATAGCAGATTTATCAGTCTGCTGAGTCTGATTATCTGATTTAGTAGAGGAATCAACAGTCCCCTGAGTCTGTTGGGCTTTTGGTAAGTCCACAACCTTCAACGGATTTGATGAATCTTTACCAGCTACCGTTTGGGCTGGACTAGCTATGGACTTCTTGGGCTCCATAATACTTGTTGGATATTGGACTTTTAAATCCAAAATCTCTTTTTCTAGTTGGGTTACTTTCTTTTGGAGTTGGGTTCTTTCTAATGAAAGGTTCTGATTGGCTTCATTGATAATTTTGTAATTTTTTTGCATACACTCATAGTGTTAGCAAAAAATATTCTAGTCTTTACTTGGAGAGAAGTCTAATGGAGGGTCAGAGTAATTTTTTAAAGAAGGAGATAAATAAAAATTTATTCCTATCTGTTGTCTTGCTAAATCTAATGCTTCTTGAAAATTTGTGAATCCTTTGTAAAGAGGATCTGGAAAATTTTTAATACAATCTAAAACTTCTATCCAAGAATAGAAAATTCTTGGAGTTTTTCCTTTAATAACAACATAAAATTTAAATCTTTGCTTGTTCCGACTAAAATGTTCTGATAATGCATTCATGCATGCAAGAAAATACTTCTGGTCTTTTGGATTCTTATTATATGAAATTCATAAATTATCTAAAATACATTTTTCTTCTCTAGATAAAGAAATATGAGGTAAAATTTTGAAAGAAATATTACTATTGGGAAAAACTATAAGTTCTTGGTTTCCAAACCTTAGTCTGTCTTGTAACATTGGTCTGTTCTGATTAAATGGAGTCTGTGGTAAAGAACGTGATGCAAATGAATTCCCTGGTGGAATTCCTGGTTTTAAAGGCCTTGGTCTTGTCATCTGTATAACAAAATTATGTTAAACAAATTTAATAATTTTTATCTATTATTATTCTACTTAGTATATCTGCCGTTTTATTATCACTACTTTTAATATGCTCAAATTCTATATTAATTCCTGTATTTGTAATTCTATCTATAAAGTTTAACCATCTTCTTCTACTACTTCTTTTTGAATCTATTTTCATTTTATTAACAAAGGAAATTATTGCTACACAATCTGTTCTTATAGTTATTTCTTTCTTAGATATAATAAATAATTCAAAACTATCTAAAGTATAGTTTATAGCTAATAATTCTGCATCTATGCTACTTAAATTTCCTTTCTCTTTATAATTTCCACTATTGTACCTACAAATTCTTTCTGTACTTTTATCGGTATATTTATTGGATTTGCATATTAATATAGCTCCTCATCCTATCATACTTCCATCTGTTTCTATAATTAAATATTCTGAATCTAATGGCATAGTCAATTCTGGTAAAGTTTTTATCTTTTCTTTTATTTGTTGGACTAATTTTATGTCTTCTTGATTAAAAAATCTTTGTCCTGTAGGGGATGTCTTTGCATATAAGGGTCCTGCTATTTTTCCTAAATTTTTTATAAATGGTCTAGCATAATTTACTAATCCTAAAAATTTTTGGATTTGCTTTAAATCTTCAAGTTTGTCTGGAAATTCTAAAACTTTCTTAGCAATATGGGGTTGTAACTTGATTTTTCCTTCTCCTATGTTAACTCCTAAGAAATCTATAAATTCTTTAAATAAAATCATTTTCTTTTTACTAATTATTAAACCATGTTTAATAAATTCTGAAAATACTATTTGTAAATGTCCTCTATATTCTTGTTTATTTTTACTGAATACTAAAATATCATCTATATATACTATTACAAACTTACTATGTTTATTAAAAATACTTTCCATTTTTCTTTGGAAGATACTGGGTGCATTCTTAATTCCAAATGGCATTACAAGCCATTCAAAATGTCCTTCTGGACAAGTAAAAGCTGTCCATTTAATACTTTCTGGATGCATTTTTACTTGCAAAAATCCTGACTTTAAATCAAATTTACTAAAAATTTTGCAGTCTTGTATTTTATTTATTAAAACTGTTTTATCTGGTATGTTATAAGCATCATCTATAATATTATCATTAAGTCTTTTATAATTAATAATCATTCTACTGTTTCCTCTAACAATTTTTGAATGTTTTCTAACTATAAAGGCTGCTGATCTATGAGAACTTTCTGATTTTCTAATTACTCCTAATTTTAAGAGTTCTTTTATATGTATTTTAAAATCTTCTAAATCTAGATTTGTAGCTTCTATATTTTTAGTTTTAATTATATATTCTGGATTTTTAATTTTTAATTCACATAAAACTTTGTCTTTTTCCCAGTATTTTAAAACATTTTCTCCTATTATTTCAATATTTTCTAATCTAGATATTAAGTTTTCTATTTCTTGTTCTGTTATTAACATATCATAGATCTTTTCATTATCAATTAATTCTATGATTCCAAAATCTATTTTTTCTAAATTATCTTCTTCTAGAATTTCAAAATTTATTTCTTCTAAATTATCTTCTTCTATTAATTGACATTCTCTTTCTTTTTCACACTTACAA